AGGGGAAGCCACACAAGACAAAGCCCAGCAGCTCCCTGTCAGCTCAGAGATGTGGGCATCTCTCTCGCTCTTCAAATGCACCTGCCCCACAGAGCAAGATCCCCCAGCACCTGCCCAAGCTCAGCAGGGTGAGCAGGGGGAGCTGGATCCTGGTGAAGCAGCCCACAGAGGAGCAGCCTGTGCAAACCCATCCCAGGCAGACCCAGCAGAGAATCCCCAACTCACCCGACGTCGTGATGCCAGCCCCGATGTGGGTTCAATTTGCCAAATGGTTTTGGCATGGGAAAAACTGTTTTGGAGCAAAACTCCCAACCTGAGGTGTGGGAGGAGAACCTCTCCGTGCATCCAGGCACGTGGGTGCCCCCCACCCCCCTGCATGTCACATCCTGCAGCCCTGCTGCTGCTTTGAACCCACCTCCAGCATCACCCCGGAGCCCCCCGGAGGGGCCTTGGCCTTTGCTCCACAGCCCTGCCCCAGAGCACTCACCCTCCTGGTCAGCACCCCCCTGGTCAGCACCCCCCAGCCCCTCCAGCCAAGGTGACCCAGCTCCTTTTGGAGCTGTGCAGAGCCTCAACCTCTCCCTCCGCCCCACACGCCCGACTCCTGCCTGCATCCCCCTGGCTGAAGGCATCAAAGCAGCCCTGCAGGGCCCTGCCCTGGTGAGCTGGGGCCAGATGGTGCCCCCCACACACGTGGAGGAAGTGGACTCAGCCCAAGCCTTCCCCCACAGCCTTCAGGAAGGACATGACTAGACAGACCTGCTCGCAAATCGCTCCCGAGAGCTCGGGCACACGCCGAGAGCACCGGCAGCTACCCTGTAATAACCCACCACCCATATCATTACCATTAATTATATATTAACACACCCCATCATCTTAACTGCTGCTAAGTCCCATCTCAGGGGGTGCGAGCTGCTTTCAAAAGCCACCTGGCTGGTTCTCCTTTGGCTATTACCCCACCCGCCCCAGGAGAGGGGCTGGCAGGACTCGGAGAGGAGCTGCCTGGGATGGGCAGGAGGATCACCAGGCTGGAGTCACGGGGCTGTTCCCCCAGGAGGACTCCACCAGCACCTTCTGCAGGACCACCAAGCGTTCAGTGGCTCGAGCAACTCCCTCCACAGTGCTGGCTGGGTCCCTGCAGCACCACAGAGCCTCACACAACTGCAGCTGCTGGCACCACCCCGACGGTGCCTTGGGGGGGACCTGCCTGCACAGAAGGCAACACTGGGAGCCCTGGCTGGGGCTGGCACAGGGGCTCGGCCACTTTGCTGCTCAGGCAGCACACGGGGAGGGCAGCACATCTTCAGATGCTAGAGGAAGTCTCCAGACTCCTGCATCTTCCCCGTGCCACCCTCAACCATCCCTCCAGCTGGCATCAAGACCTTTAGCATCCCTCAGCTCACACTCTTCCCAGCCCCTGAGCTTGCTGAGGGGCAGAGTGATATTTCTTCTTCCACACTCCCCCCTCTGTGCCCTGCCCCTGCCCTGGCTCACTGCTGCTCAGCCAGAACTCAGGGCCCTCACCCCACCCCACATTCCAGGGCAGGCTGCTGCTTCGAGCCCCTTTCTGGAGCTGCCTCCCAAAAGCTGCGCTGAGCCCACATCCAAGAGAACCCCAGCACTGCTGGCCCTGCAGAGGGACAGTGCATTTTGGGTCCATGCTGGCAGAGACTGTGTTTCTCCTTTCAGTTCTCATAGGGTAACGCATGCACAGCACCCTCACCGAGACACAACTTCAGGAGGAAAACAAGCCTCTTCCAGGCACGCAGAGCTTTCAAAACCATTTCACCCCAAAGGCAGCATGCTGCCTTCCATTCATGAATGGGCTCCAGCAGAAAGAAAAAAAAAAAAACAAACCCAACAACTGGGAAGGAGTCTGGGGCTGGCGTGGCCCCAAAGCTGCAGCCGTTTCATGTGGCTCCAACGCCTCTCGCCCGGCAGCTCACACTCTCAGAGCACTGCCTGCATGCACACAGGCACACAAAACATCCCTAATGAATGTCTCACAGCCCACTGTGTGTGTTCTGACACGGCTTCACTCGCCAAGGGAAAAAAAAAAGGGTGCATGTATGGATGTATGTACACACCAAGGCTTTAAAGAGGACGCTGATTGCATTTTTGCAGCTTTGTTGAAGGGTTTTGGTTTGGTTATTCTTTTTCTTTTTTTAATATGAAAGCCTAAAGCAAATATCATCCAGAGAAAGGGTATTTTTCATCTTTAATACTTCGCCTGCATGCGTAACACCTGCAGAGCTCTGACACTCCCCAAGGAACGTGTTTTATAGTAACTGGGTCAGGCTGAAATAAAGGCAACTGCTCAGAAAAACACTGCTACTGGCTAGGACTGTGCTGCCAACCCCAGGACTCTGGCACAAAGGGAAGGGATTAAGCCTTTCAGGGAAGCCTATCACAGGATTGACAAAGCAGCTTTACCAGCCTGAACTCTCAGGTGTTCCCAAGTTGTACTAAGCTGCCTTCCCAGTGAAACCCTCCTGGGGAAGGAAGAGCAGGAGCCCACCCACCTCTGCTCAGGCACAGGGCTGCACGAGGATTCTGTTTATTCCAGAATCATGATGATGAAGTTTTAAGTCTTTCCTGAGAGTGAAACAAACAGGGAACCTCCCATGCCAACTGCAGTGCCACGTTTCAGCCTTTCAATCAACCCAAATGCTCTCTGCTGGTTTCAGCTAAGCAAACAGCCATCCCTCAAGACAGTTCTCACCTTACCAAGGCAAGTTTTAGTCCTCCAAGGTGGACTTCTGCCTACATTTTGTCACCTGCAGGACTGCTTGGTATAGATGTTCACTTGGTGGCTTAAAATGCCTGAGTTAGCAAGCCCAGTGCATGTCAGTCTCTTAAAAAGAATTATTTTATTTCTGTGCAACAGAGATTTGGAGATTATGGAAATTCTCAGTAAGATTTGTACATCTAACTGTCCTTCTCACATCCAAGAGCTAGTATCAGCAGATTTTGAATTATATATGAAAATACATGCTCTACCTGTTGCCATAACAGACCTTTCTAGGCCAGATACATGGATCATAACAAGACCTTTGTAAGAAGCAAACTGCATCACATCTGCCAGCTGTCAGAGTTTTATACTTTTCTTTGAATTATCAAGTCATTGCCATCATTAGAGGCAATATGCTTGCCTGAAAAGTTCAAGTGATGGTGTCAACTCTTCCACTCCTCTGAAGCATCCCCTGTGTCTTCACTGCATTAGAATAAACCCTTCCACCCCTTTGGACCAAGTCAGAATTGGACTCTCTCTTTTGATCAGTTAGTTACCCATATAAAACACCCACTGCAATACATTTGCATACACCTATGAAAGGAGAAAATAGAATCGCTTTATTTTCAGTATACAGACTAAATCCCACCATAAAATAAAGGTAATGAGGGAGCACGTGTGAATAGAACACTCCCACACTTAAAAAAGCCCATTTTTGTGTGTCTGCTGGATCCACCACTTGCCACACGGCACTCGCAGCTCTCCAGGGTTGCTTCCAAAAGCAGCTGCAGTACTCCCAGGAGCAACATTCCATCTACTACAGCTCAAAAAACTGCTCCCAGGTTGCACAGAAGTGCTACATTTTCCTCCATGCCTTGAAATACTAATTAGGTACAACACTATTTCATCACCTCAGCTCCCAGACTACATCAGGTCCCCCTCCCAACCTTATACCAAAGCAAGAATTCCCTCTACAAGGTCAGCTCAGCAAGCTGCAGCAATGCAAACTCTTTCAGAGGTGCAGAACAATGCCATGTTGTGACCTGCAGCACAGACAGCAGGACATAAACACTGATGACTTGTACACACACATGCACACAACCACCTCCCCAAAACTTTCTCCACAGTGTGGCTCCTTCCAAGTCACACGCTCTTCACAGTACAAGAGAAAAAAGCCCTTCTCAAATTTAGCCCCTTTAAAGCCAGCAAGAAAATCTGATTCCATGTGCTCTCAGTGGGCGTGTTATTGCTTGTAGTAAATTGTAGAAGATTTGGACCTAACACAAGAGATTCACTTGCAAAGCACAAAGGTCATTTATGGCCCCTAAGCAGCCTTACCAACTTCTCCTAGCAGCTGGTGTTTCCCCACAGCAGCAGTCAGCCTCACTCTGTGCTTCCCAACACGTGTTGCACCCTGCTCCAGAGAACACAGCTGCTGCCTTCTCTGACTCACCCCTGAACACAAAAAGCCATCAGCATGAAGTGTTACTGTTAAATTCACATCATTCATCCTTTGCTCACCTACCCAAAAAAGGGATGACCTGGGCTGTAACAGCAAAGGCCAGCAGTGCTTAATCCTCTCAGCAATCAAATGTCAATGGGAGAGGAACTGATATTTTTCCAGAGAGACTTTATATTCCCAGTAGAATACACACTCTCACTGGATTTAAGGCTGCCAATGACTTATCTCACCCATGGTGAGCCTGACCAAATTTTAAGAATCCAGTCTTTACCTCTTGCACCTCTAACTGAATGAAAAGTTTACAACTGAGTGTCTTTAAGGAGTAATTAAGCAGCTCCTGGGATTTCTTCAGAGCAAACACTGACTCAAAGACTCACCAGAAGCTCACAGTGTTACATGGGAACCCCAGCCCATTTCAGATCCCCAGGCAGTCACCAACAACTCTCTAATCTTCTTAAAGATACGTGCTGCACAAATACTTTCTTTGCTAATGCATCCTGACTATAACCCTGTTTTTTTTAGCCTCTCTTGTTGATTATTCAGATCAGTCCTGATTGCACATGCTGTTCTTAACTTCATGAGTACCATAAAACTGTTAGATTATTTCCTGTCTACTGATGCTCCACATGCAATGCTACTAAAAAAACATACAACTAATTCTCCCAGCAGGTGATTCAAACCAGCTCTGCTCTCCCACAGCAGATTGGCAAAGGCAGGCTGCAGATTGCAAGTTCTTCCAGCTTTCCACATCATGAAGTGAGGTAGCAACAAGCAGCCTTTGAAACGGCATTGTCTCCATACTTCTCCCTAGTATTTCAATCCCTTTTCCACACAATTTAGTGAGTGAACCAGAGGCTTCTCTGGAGCAGTGGAAGAAGAAAAGAGATGGTAAATAAATAACAAACGATAAGAAGAACTAGGCCAATAGTTTTGCAAAGTTTTCAGTTTTGGTACCAGCACTGAGCACTGCTCGTTTTCAGGTGAAGAGAAATACAAAAGGCTTCAGTCTCTTTGTGAGCTTAAAGTCCAAGTGACTTCTGCACGATCTGCTTGGCAATTTTGTTAAACTGTTCTCTGTCTTCCCGCCACATCTTGGAGGCATCTACATTGGCTCCACTCTCATCGTTTGGCTCTGAAATGAGAAAGACTGAAAGGTAGCTGGGCAGGCAGGACACAGAGCAAGACCCCACAGCAAGGTTGAGTTTCAGTAAGAAACCAGTGGCAGAGGAGGAAGACTTTTTGTTTCTGCTCTCAGCAGTTGAACATGCACATGGGACAGCACCACTTGGCACCACCAGTGCCATCAAGGGGTTTTAAAGCTGCATACTGCTCCCTCCAAAATGTTTTTTCTTTTTCTGGTTCTGTGGCTTCACAGACACAAAGCCCTCCCAACCAGGCCACCCAAACAGGCTCTGTCACCCTTTGGGATGGCTCGTTCTATTAAAAAACCAACCAAACCAAGAAAATCCATAGAATGCTTTCATTTCTGCAACGTCTTTCATGCAAGAATTTCAGCCCCTTCACAATGCATGTTGAGTGCCTGGGACTCCCAACACTTCCTTTTGTTCTGAGGTAGACTGAAACATGGGACCTGTACCAGGGTCAGGGCCTGTGTACAGCAGGACAACTGTCAGAGGATGGCAGAAGTCACTAAGGCACAACGTACTCTACCCATTTGACTTCACACACCAGTCTAAATCCACCCCAGCCCAGCTCATGGCAGGTATCTTGGGCATGTGTCTTGCTCAACACAATGCTGATGGTCTGCCCTTAAAGGTTAGGAGATGTGCAGGTCACCCAGTTTGGTAAGCTTGGGCCCTCTGCAGAGCTAGAGCCTAGAGTTTGCCAGCAGCCTGAAAGAAGCTGGACATTGATGTTTTAGACTAATTCCTCCAAAATTAATTCCTCCATGGGAAAACAGGACACAAAGGCAGAGAACAAGAGACTAGGTGACTCTCATGCTAACCAGTCCAGGTAAGGCTGCACCACAAAGTTCTTGGAGGCCACAAGGTGCCCAGTGAGGTACTCTCTGTCTGCACAACCTCCCAACAGAGGGTTATTATTCTGGAGCTAGAACAGTCCCATGTTAAGAATCTGTTGCTTGCTCTTTGATCAACTTTGTTGCTGTTAAACCCTCTAAGCTATGCAAAATCTTTTACCATTCAAAACTGCTTCTGAAAGCCACAGTTCTGCTCTTTTCAGGCAGTTCAGTGGCCCTGCCCATTATGTGGAAAAAGAACCAACTTTAAGGGAGCTGGACACAACAGAGGTGATCCACAGGATTTAGGGAAAGTCACTTAAAAGGCTGCACAAAAAGTTTTTCACTCCAACCCTCTTCTCAAAAAGCCTTCCCCTGATTCTGAGGGCAGAACGAGGTATGTTCCCAGGCTGGCAAATAACAGGCAGCAATGGAGGGTGCTGCCTTGTTTACCAGGGATATTAGACCTGCTTGGTAACCTTCCAGCTGCTAAGGCCAAACCCAACGTAGGCTGTCATCAGTAGTTTGAAGATCTGCAAGAGCTGAACAGACATCATAGCAAACACAAGGATGAAGCACAGGTTCTGTGCAGAAGCAGGGAAGCAGCTGAGCCTCTGTACCCCCCTGCCCATCACTCCCTGCTCAGCTGCTGCAGACCCAAAGAGGAAGCCAGGCAGCTGCTCCCAAAGCTGGAAATCTCTCTTTACCAATTCAGTCTTAGTTTTTTTGATTCTTTTCAGAGAACTAGTTTATTAATAAATCAATACTTTAAGAACCGTGGTTACTGCTTACACTTTTAAATGTCCTTTGCTCACTTAAACAGCAAGAAGCAGCTCTAGGCAAGGCAGTAATTGCTACCTGAGGTAGTGCTATCAAGCAGCAGTCCTTACCTGCCAGCATGCTAACGACTGACAAGAGGATCTTCTCCACACTCTGCACAGGACTCCAGCGCTCAGCACTGCTCTCATATCCCATGGGATCGTCCCCCGGGGCATGGAGAATAGAGATGCAGACTCTCCCATCTGGATAAACTGCACAAGGAATACAAGGGATTGACTGTTACTCAGTGGGACCACTTCACCTCTCCAGATCTCCAGCACAGGTGAGCGTTTGGACGTGGCCTTTGTATGACTGAAGCTAAGCCCAGTTTTACATTTCCTCAAGAGAACACAAAATCTAGAAGACAAAAAACGGAGTAGAAATTTCCTTTAAGCAAATCTAACAAAGTTGGGTCATCCTTTCTCAACAGAAGCCTGCATAGGAGCACTCGTGTGATTTCATAACAAGTGACAGGCTCCATGGAGGAAAAAAGTCAGAGATGCAGCCTGGTGGGACAAGGCAAGGATTTATTTTTTTAACTTTGCTTAAGCTCAGCTGCACTGAAGTGCATGGAAACAGGGTAACCTAGTTGAAAAGGCAACACAAACAGAATGGAGTTGGAAACACTGCTTTAGCAACACAGCCTAACTGTGCAGCCTCCCAAGGAATGACAGCTTCAGTCCAGTACTTTCAGTGCTTCTCTTCCTCAGGTGACCAAATCTGTGCCATTGCCAGGAAAACAAGACAAAAAAAAGAAAGAGTGAAAGTCTGCTGGAAGTAGCTGTGCTCGTTTCCAGGTCCTTCCATGCACCCAGCTAATGTCTGCACAAGCCTGCAACACATAAGCAGTTTGGAAGAGTTTTATTTACATCCTCTCACAGTCCCAGGCTGGGGACTGTTGTTGGTCTAGCCATAGCTGGAAGAGGTGAAAACAGAACGTGCTGGACCAGCACTTCATGTAAGTGAGGAACAAAGTGGTCGAAGGTATTTCACCTGCAAGTTACTCTATGTTTTTCTGCAGAGTCTCATTTAAAACAGCTAGACCACAGTGGCACAGTCAAGACAGCAAAGGCCAGTTCCAGGAAGACATCCTCATCTTCCCACTTGACCACTAAGTGCTAATGCAAGACCTGCCATTAATTGCTACTTTGAAGTTCTCTTCAAATCCATGAATATAATTTTCTTTTAAGAGAAGATGGTTCTGTAGTGTCTCAAATCCCCTTGTATGTACCACAAACTGCAAAATCAAGGGAACACAGCAGACTTTTACAACATTTTCCTTGCAGCTCCTCACAGGTGGAGGAGTAAGCACTGAAGGAACAGAAAAAAACACAGCACAGCCACTCATTTCTACCACCTTTCTACATCAGAATCCCACTTGAGAGGAGATTCAAGTGTCTACTTTAGGTGATCTCAATTTTAGATTAACATGACCCAGAGTCACGGGGCTTTAAAAAGCTGAGCTGACCATCCAGAATATTCCAGTTAATCCCAGGGAGGCAGCATCCACATGGAGTCACTCTGTAACACATGAGATCAAGACAGGTTGTGCTTCTCCACACCCTGATCCTCCTGGCTGAGCTGCACACCAAGAGCTGCAATGAACCTCCACAACTGGAGCTGCAGAGTACTGTGTGGGCACCCACCTGCTCACAGAGACCACTCCTGCTGAGAAGCTTGGGTGAATTAGTCCAGCTGGAGCTGCCTGCTGAAGCTGCCACACTGCTTCTGGGTGCCAAACAGTGCATGGGTAACACTGCACTGACCTGGGCATGTCTGCACAGCTCCACACTGGGACGTGCGGGTGTGGCTTCCACACCAGAACAGAAAAGTGCAGATTAAATGGGCAAGAATCTGCATCACTGGTGCTTTTGAGAAGGGAAGAACAGAAGAACTTTAAGAAATTTAAAAATTCCTTGGAACAGGATGAAATAAATCAATTCCCAGCTGAGATTAAGAGCTGTGTTATGCAAGTGCAGGGACATCAGCAGGGAAGGGAACACCAGGCAGAAAAGCAGCATTTCCTTTTTATCCCTCTCAAGCAGCAGAGACCTTATAGAGTAGAATACAGATCCAGCCCATCAAATCTGGGTGATAATAAACCATCTTGACACAATTCTTGGTGATTTAGCAGATGTCATAAGCAACTTTACAAAGAATGCCAAGGCTGACTCCAGAAAGTAGTGCTTCAGGCTGTGACAGGGTGCTTCAAGGTTTTTACCTGTCCAAGGCTCAACATTGTTAGCTCTATTTGTTGTTACTTCAATTACTTCCACTGAAAAGTCTTAAGATAATGTTGCCATCATCAGAATTGCAGAGAAAAAGCAAGGTCTTGATATTAAATGCCTACAAATCTGTCATCTGTAATCCCATCAGAAATGTTACTGAGCCTGCAACTTAACAGGGGGAAAAAAACATGCTGCCTAAAACTAAATGATTCTATGATTCTATGATTCAATAAAGCTGCATCCATGCTGTGGTGAAGATGAACAAATTTTCACTCATTAAGTAACACCACACTGCTTAAATACAACCCACAGAGCAAGAGTGGAAAGAGTCTGTATTAATTCACTAAATCTTACACCACGGACAGAAAACTTCAGACTATTGAGACAATAATTTACAAGTATTCCTGGAAGGATCTTAAATTGTTGGAATCTTTACTTGGCCTGTTTGTGGCCACAAGGTAGATGAGGAAGAATGTGCTAATGAGAACTGGACAGAGCAGAATTGCTGGCAGGCTGAACAATCCTGCTGCCTACTCATGGCTGGGAAAGGGAGAGAATCACCCTTGGTAAGGATGCCAGCTCTCCTGCTGCAGAAGTTTGGTTTGAAGGTGCACAAGCAACCCACTGGCCCACAGGTCCTGCTGCATCAGACTCACTGTTTGGATGGAACATCTCACACGTGAACCTCATCTTCGGAGGGCTTAAGGGGTAGTCGAGGGGGAAGCTCAGGATAGCAGGGAACACCCCATACTCGAAACAGGTGTCTTCAGGACCCCTAGAAACAGATAAAAAGCCATTCACCAGAGTTGTAGATAGCTCTCTCACCCAAATTCTTGTCTCACGAGACATCAGAGGTTTGGGTTATACTGTCTTCTCCAGGAAAAAAAGAGTTAACGCAGTCTTACCCGACACCTCAAACTTCAATCCAAACCTGGGGTTTGCGAGGGAAGGGGGAAATCAAAGCCTGCACACTAAATTACTAGGAAGGTCACAACACTGCTTAATTAGCAGGGTGTGTCTGGATAGAATCGGAGTATCTGGCTCCCAGGCATGTTCCAGGATTTGAGAGTCTGCATGTCAAGAGAAAGCAGAGGCAGGTGTGGGACTCCTGTGCCTTTGAAGATACTGTTATGCTGCACCAGGCAAAGATGTCAAATGCTGGAGCTGAAAAATAATTTACAAATCCTACGGAGATTCAAAGTGCCAGTATCGAGCACGAGCACACATAAACACTTATCTGATGCAAAAAACACTGCAATGTTTGGTAGAAACAAAAACACAGCTCAGGGACCAGAATTGTTAGATGCAGGACAACCAAGTTTCTCTGCAGACTTGAGATATTTAGTCTGCACTCCCTCAGGTGCATGCAGAGAACAAGTGGCTTCATCAGGGCTCCTGTAGAAACATTTCCTTATTGTGTTCATCATCTAGTTCAACATACAATCAAGTTGAGAATATAAAGATATTTCTCTCTCTATTTCACTCTCCCCTACATACAACATTTCTGGAAAGTGAGGAAAAACAAGGTTATTAGACATGATTTATTCAACCTTGATGAACCATCTGGAAGTTATGACACTAACGTTATCTCCTGTTGACTGGAAAACTGGGAAGAGCAAGAAACAAGACTCACTGCTGAAAATCTTAGCCAAGGAAACCTCACATATTCAGTAAAAAGCTCTTCAAACAAGGGTTATACTGCCCAGGAAATAAGGTTTAGAAATACATTCATGCCTCCTCTTCCTCATCCACATTCTCCATGCCAGAAAGAACATAAAAGTTCAAGAAGTCCTAACAGTTAAGGCTGCAATCAATCAGTAACCTACAGAAAAAAGAAAATTGAGAGCAATAAACCCTAAATCCAGGAGGCTCACTCTCTTAACCTTTGGGATTCAAAAGACTTGGGTAGTAGATAAACACAAGAACTATATGATTTAAACCTGAATATGGACACTTGCAGGTAAGGTTAGAGAAAAGCAGCAGCACACTGCAACAATGAAAGCTAAACCATCTCAACCATTTTTTTTTTAACTTTCTGGCAACTTCCCTAAATTTAGTCAGGATTCAATTCACATCTGAGAATAAACTGAATGCATTTTTTTCATGAACGTTTTAATTCCAGCTGCATTTTAAAAGCTTATTGTTGAACTTCTAAGAGTATGTACATACACATATTGAAAAGCTAGTGGGTGTCTTATGTTCTGTTTTGAGAGCAAACACACAGCCTTAAGGGCTCTTCTGTCAAATATGTTAACCCAACATGCTCCACTTCAGGCCCTGTATTATGTGAGCAAAATGCTTTTGTTTTAGCCATTTAGGGCTGCCAGGATCAACTTCAAAGGAATTATTAAAATTAATCCAAGACAGCATTTACAACTACAGAACACTCAGGAGGCCTCAACGTTTAAACTTGACAGCATCACTTGCAGTTCACAAAGGACACTGGCAGAGCCAGGGAGGTAAAGGGCACAGCACCTTTTGAAACCTTTGCAGAGGAGCTGGTGTGATGGCAAAGGACACCACATTCAAAGCCTCTGTGCCTTACACTGTCACCTTGTCCAACTTGCTATGCTAGTTAAGACGACCCAGCACTTGATCAGGGTTCCTCCAAAAAACACCTGGACCACACAGCAGTGACCCCATCCCACTGAGAAAAGAGCACTGAGCCAAAAGGCCAGGGCCTTAAGCAGCTCCCACACCCCAGGGAAGACAAATCACTGACCATCACTGTGTACATGTGCAAGGCACTCACCCTGCACAGGCTCGAGGCATATAACTCTAAGAAACACCTTGTCTTAAACCTGTTCCTTGTAAGATTCATTACAGCCTGCAAAGTGGGCACTTTCTCATCTTTTTCTGCACATGAGGCTCCTCTACAGACTCCCCTAAAGCACTGAGGAACAGACATCAGCTCTCCTCTGGCTGTAACATGGCACTAAATGACTTGCTAGACACCCAGACTGCTTAGTTGGAAGGCAGATGTTACAAACAACTCTGTTGAAATAAGACATACTGCAGGAGAAAGAAACTCTGAACTCCATGAGCTGGCTGTTACTCAGGCAAGGGAAAGAAAAGGATGGAGGCTATCTGCCAAAACAGGAAGGAAAAGCATATCAACAAGGACAATTAATTCCATAATCAATAGCTTCAAGTACATTTGTAAATGGTTTTTTATTTGTAAAACGATGCTGGAAAAAGACCAAAACTCACAGTCATCAGATGCTATCAAGGGGAATTCCATGCTAAACAAGCCTAATTATAGATCTAATTACCTTTCTAAACAGGCTTTTGGACAGGTTGACTTCAATTTATACTGTTTATTTTTCAAGCAATCTTTAGCTCTCAACAATTACGTGGGTTTATGTCTTTTGCAGATCGACTCGAAGAGCAGCAGACACTTGGATACACCAACCAAAGAGGGCAAAAGCTGGTCTTGAAACATTAAACTCATCAACTGGCACAACACAAGGCAGCCTCCTGGACTTCAGGCAGTGCTGAGGAACTGAGCAGCATTATGGCAAACTCTGCTGACACGCTGGGGCTACTCAGCATCACCAATAAGTGGCCCTGCTGCAAAGGCTTGGCTTTCATAATTCAGCTGCTGCTTGGCTCATCAAGAGGGTGCATTCTGCACCAGGCTTCAAACCTCCCCTGTTCAGAGAGATTATCACAGTTTCTTTTCAGCTCTGGATCTAATGCACTCACTTGGGGAGCATAAGAACTGTTCTATCATTCAGACATGTCAATACAGCCTTAACATCCACACGTTCAGCATTTATCCAGCACTGCTGCTGCAGGCAAGAACACTGGAAGTACAAATTATTATTATTATTTAAAAAGACATTGTTTTATCTTTGAGCCAAGCTCTTACATCAGTCTGTGTAATACCAACCAGCCCACCTATGAACTGATAAATGGGCTGTGTCTTTTCTCTCTTGGGTTTCTTTTTTCTTTATTTGCCATTACATGTGCTCTAGCTTTATATAAATTTGGTGAAGGAAAAAAAAAAAAAGCATTTTATTCTCCTCTTCATTATTACATGACTTACTTAACTTTTCACTCCATCTATCTAAAAACTTCCTCATCTGCACTTCTTTCATTCCCATAATCTCACACAGCACATTTCAGATTACAAAACCTTCAAGGTTATCACAGACAAACATAAACAAGTCATTTAGCTTGCTTTCCAAACATAACCAAATACTTCTACTACCAGAGTTTTGTAAAGAGATGAAAGTAACCAAACATGTTTAGTGTAAATATGTTTCTATTGTACCACAGTTTCGGAATTGAGCTGATCTTAAAATATGATTTTATTATGACACATGCACGACACACAAACCAAAATTAAAGCACCTCCGCCTCTCATTCTGTGCTGACAAAAGACCTGAAGCTCAACACTCAGCACTTTAAAAGGCTTTCAAGTCTATAAAAGTGGCTCATCTGTTGTTCAAAAATTTGTTATGGGAAACATCAAGAAAAAAAGTATTTTCTAGGCAGTGAATCAAATCCAAAAGTACTTCTGTGAACCCCTCATGAAAGCTCTACTCAACCACAAAATCTTTGCTACGAGAAAGTACCGAGAGGCAGGAATTTCCTTCCCCATTCCAAGAAGTTCATTAAGTGTTCTGGGATTTCTACACTCCAAGCCACGCACAGCTGTCTGAACTGAAATTTGGGAGTGTTTCAGCAAAGAAACTGCATCTCACAGAAAGTGTGAGAGGTTACAGCCAAATTCTTTGGTGTCGGGGTGATCACCTATTTCCATGCTAAGCGTTGATTTGCAGGGGACTGAGCTACCAGGAGTTACAAACTGTTCATCACAGGATAAATTGCTGCACGTAAGCAGAGGCGTTTGCCAACTCTTCATTATCAATCAGCAAACAAGCAGTGGTAATCCAAATCTCCATTTACCAAGGCCCAAAATAGCTTGGAGGCTCACGCCTGCCATAGAGCAGGATCACCCACGCAGCCGGCCCCTGTGGAGCAGGGGATGGATAACAGCTTGGTACACTTGTATACTGGTGGTGTTCTGCATCACAAGCAATCTTGTTTTGCATCCCCAGACAACACACTCCAACAAAACCCAGCTAAGAAAACCCTTCCACCCACACCAGCTGAGAATCTTGTAAGTCAGCAGTGGTGGCTGCAGTGAAAACCTGCCCAGAGCATAGCAGGGGCACTGCGAGCGGGGCCACGGCCTCCCCAGACTGCCACTGGTGTCCTCAGGGAACCCCTGGTCCTGGCTGAAGAAGGAAATCACCAGCTCTTACTAAAGGAATCTTAAAATCCTGGATCCACCCTAACAACAGACCACCTGCTTTAATGCAGACTCAGCTGTCTGGAGCTTCTTCATCTTTTCGTTCTGTAGCATCCATCTACACTGTCAGTCCCAAGTGACAACGGTCTCTTTTCCTCTCCCCTGCCATTTTAGAACTTTATTTTGTAAAAATCACACATTATTGGATGCACTCAGAGTTCCCAAAGAAGGGTAGAGCATGAGTAAGAGAGTGTAAGCAAGAAAGAAGATAATGTGTCAGCAGCTTGGCAAGATTTTGTCTTTTCGTGGCAAGTTTTGCTGTGAACAACTGCACCCATCAGTTCAGGAGTGGAAGGGGGAGGAGACAACTTGTCAAGAGGTCTTTGTCACCCCTCAGAACACAACAGGTAACAATCAGAGCTGTTCAATAGAAGAGCTTTCAACAGGGAACCACTGCACCCAATGTCTTTACAACAGCAGCCTGTGCATCAACTGTATAGCATTTAAAAAGAAAAATCTTTTATTCTTTTTTTGAGTACTCTCAGATGAATCCCCTTCCATTTTCCTAGAAAAAATGGAACAGTAAGCAAACCACCTTCTCACACTGCTTCTTCTCCTTTCCTATCACAGATAATTTCTCTATTCTCCTCCACTTAAAACACAAGAAAAACCTGTCCTGTATTTGCAGTTGAGCAATGTTTCCAGCAGGTTTGTGTTACCTGCAATCAATTCACTGTTTCCTACAATGTTTTCCTACACAACACATAACCAAGAGAGCCCAAATGAGGATTCCTGTCAAATCTACAAGTGACAAATGCTGAGTGTTGCTTGTTATCGTGGCACTTGTACAACAAATGACTGCTTAAGCCCCAGCGCTGCCTGTCACAGTTTAAATTCCAAATATAATTCCCAGTTTAGGTCAGAAAATTATTTTCCAGCCAAAGGTAGGCCAAGGTGGATGTTACACAGAACTGATAGTGTTATTTTTTTATACTCCTGTTCTCCTAAAAGCTAATCACAGCATGCAAGTGCTAATTTCAGACACAAACCAGTATTCACTCACATAATCAGAGCTTCCCATTCGAAGAAGTTCTCTTCATTCATGGGACCTATGAAGAAAAACAAACCAAAAAAATATGATTAGTACTACCTGAACGTCAGGCTGCAACTTCAGAGTGCAGAAACCCTGCTCAGCTCCTCACCTGCTACGATCCCTTCTGGTGGATTCAGGGTCAGCTCTGCAAAAACACAAACACAAGGAGGGTTAACATGATCTGCAAGCCTGGGAATTTTAGGATAGCACTTGGGTCACCACCCACCGGCCTTGGAGAAAAGCTTGAGGACCCAGAAGGAATCTTCTGGCAACGCTGTACTGGGCAAGACTCCACATCCAGAAGGCCCAGCATCTCACACCTGACAATTTAACTTTTCTAGAGAGAATTATTTGGCATTTTGTGCTTTTTCAGGCTCCCAAAACTACTCCTCCCAGGGGCAACAATTTAAAACTGAGAAGGAAATAAAAACCTTCTTTCCACAAAGCATGGGAAACTGCTCTTGGAACACTGTGGTATCTGCAGGTAGAAAACTCAACAGCCTGAAGAGAAAATGGGTAAAACCTCTCTGTACCAATTCATACTTGACAGCATCTCAATGCAAAATCCAAAACGATGCAAAAAGTTGGAGAAGCAAAAGCAGGAGAGACTGGACAAGTGGCTCTGTTCCTTGAATTGAATCCAGCTCCACCTGCATGGCCTGGAAAAGGCAAGTGAACAAAGCAGGAGCAACAAAGCAGCAAGTCAGGATCCATCCACCCCCACTTTCTGGAGGGAACTGGTACAATTCCCAAATTGTACAATACCCTTCAGCATCACTATCTCATCTCAAGTGGACCTGCAGTCCCCGGGGGCTGAACACCACCAGCTCCACAGCTCTGAGACACAGGGCAGCTGGTGGGACCAGTGACAGGACGCAACACTCCAAAGGTGCCAGGCTGGAGGAGGTGACAGTAATTAGGCAAATTTAAGGGCTGTGAGCTGGTTATCTAGAACAGTTGCCTAACCAACAGCCTGTGGACTGCTAATGGCCTGTCCCACACAGCATGCAGCCATGGGAAGTGCTACGTGCATTCCCAAGCACAAAACCAAGCAGGAACGTGGACCCAGGGACTATGAGAAGTCACAAGCAAATAAACAAGACACTTGACCTAATCTGTTAGGCTATATTTGAAAACTGTGGGTAGTGCTGTACAAAACAGCTCACAGATTTTTGTCTCGAAACAGGTAAGTTACTGTTGGACTCAAAAATATGCTGACAGGAAAACACTCAGACATTAATTTTGGCACAGAGGTCTCTGACTTAAGTTCAAAAGCACAGCCACAGATTGAAACTTGGTGTTACAGTTTCCCACCATGTCCTGATGCTCAGGAGCAGGTTTTTCCAGCTTGATAGTGGTCTCAAACAGCTTTTCTTGTTGATGTTTTTAAACAGAAAGAGGGAGATGTCAAACCTAGGAGATCCTGGAATAATTTTGCTCCATCTTGTGGCTCTCTCTAAGAAGAAAATCCCTCTGGTATTTCCCATGGTTTCCCTTGAAAAGGCAGGCAGCCTTTTTGTCTGCCTGGTGGCAGCATCTGTGTCTCCCTTGCAGCAGGAGAGGCACTGTGCCATACAGCCATCCAAAAACTGGGAAAACTGGGCTGGTAGGAAGCAAAGCTGCTCAGCAAGGGGTCTCTACAAGGACTGAGGTTCAACTCCCCATATTGCTTGGCTCTCCCCTCGGAGTCAGGCAAAAGAGGTTTCCATCCTTAAGGATCAGACAAAGTGGCAACTGGGCAGAGCAACAGCACATGACATTTGGTTTTGAGTGGCTGCTACTGTACCTGGTCATTTAGGAAGGAAAAATCCCTTTTCCACGTGGATGGGCACATCCTACCCTGTGATCTCTCTAGAGTCCTTCAAAGGGAGACTGGAAGCTACAGTTTTTGGGAGCTACACAGCATGCACTGCCAGTAGCTGATGCAGTATCAACTGCTTCAGCCTCACCAGAGCCTTCAAAAGCAGGTCACCTTAATGGGATGTCAAGGGGGGATTTTTTTCCAATTATTTTTAAAGAAGCAGCAAAAAGCAAGTGACTGGAGCATTTGTTTTAACCTTTCACTGCAAATCGACTTTGACAAGTCATCTGGGCCACACAGACCTCCCTCCACCCCTCTCTCCTCTGCCACCCCACCCCTCTGAGGCTGTCCTCTCCAGCAAGCCACAGGGCACAACAGGAGCACATCAGCAGATCACACAGCCCACCCTCTGCTCTCCACACCACCCAGCCTGGGGGGAACTTCTGCCTGGCCTGCAAGACCCCCCACCACACACATGGTGTAAAGCTTTACCAAGGAAAGCTCTTCTGCTCCATAATCACACCAGGCTGTCCTCTCACACACTGCTCCCAGGGACAGCAAGCAGCTGAGCCCCTGCCTGTGCTGAAGGCTCCCAGCACCCAGCCCGAGGTGCTGATGGGGGAAATGCAGATCCTGGAGCTACATCAGCTACTTGCACAAACTGAGAGCCACCTCCCTTCATCACCTTTCTCCAAGGGGCAAGACCAGCAGGAAGACTCTGCAGGAGCCCTCGATGCAGCAGCTCCTTGCCTATGGCTGACTGGCAACTATGAGTCCAGGGAAAAAACACTGGGGTGCAGAACCTCATGATCCATGGGACAGGAGAGGTGGGAGGAGAGCTGTCAGACACAGAGGGGCCCTCCTGCTCTGCTGGCAGCACAGCCTGGTGACCCCCACCTGGAGCTGTAGGACCGTGTGCCTGTGCTGGAGCACAGCCCTCGTTCTGCTGAGCACCACGAGCCCCCCTGCTACCAGTGGGCAGATCACCTCTTTGGGGTGGGCAGAGCCAGGCCACCACCTCCTGTGCTGGTATTTTACACAGTGCTAACTACAGAGGTGCCAGCAGCAGGGATGAAGCAGCTGCCTGACATGCCCACTGAGTACCTACTGCCAGGGGAGCCCATCAGGGTTCCTACAGAGAAAATGTGTCAGCAGCAACAGCCTAATAAGGGGTTCCAAGAGGTGAAGAGACACCAATCAACATGGAAAATGGTGTAAAACAGAAAAGGAATCAGCTTTGAAAGACATAAAGGGGAAGGCCAAGAGAAGACTCTGTGTAAAACAGAGGAATGGAAGAGTCATGAGGAGAAGCTGAGGCTAGCAGCTGCTGCTGGAAGGGAAGCTGGTGGTGATGTACAGACACCAGGTCACCTACAAGCTACCACAACCACTTCAGGGTGCCCAAGGGTCTGGAGGGCTGTAGGGATCTCTCTACTCAGACACATGTTGGAGGAACCCAAGGTAGTGCAGCCCACCACCTGATTCAGAGCAACATCTGTCTTCAGCACTGGAGAGCATTTGGAGCAGTTTCCATCTCTGCATCCTCCACAGGGCATCCTGTTTGGTTTGCAGGGTAGTTTTGCTTCCAAATCAAAAGGCAATGAAGCTCCAGCTGGTAGCACCACACCCAAACTTAAATCTTGGCTTGTAAACTGAGACTGAATGAAATGGAACTGACACCAGTGAAGGGCAATGCTTCTGCTAGGAACTTTGGGTACATTGGGGTCTACACACAATCCATTTTCATTTAACTGCTCATCACAAAGTCATAATAGGCCAATTACACCCTGGCCAAAAGGAGAAGAACTGAAAACACATCTTCTTGTTAAAGCAGTTAATAAAAAGACATCCCATCCTTAAAAGAGAAGTCTAATATCTAGGTGATTAAATGCACAAGGCTCAGGAAATATTAAGGACACATACTTCAATATCTGACAACATCTGGACTGAGCCACTTAAAACCAGAATTTTGCTCCTTCTACTCTGCCAGAAATTCTGTTTTCTTCTCTCTTCTCCAATCAGCAGAAGGCAGTTTGAGCTCACACAGCCACACAGCACAGTGTGTATACCAAGAGATCTCCCAAGTGTTATGCCCAGGAAAGAGCATTTTCCAAGCAGGTTTAGCAGGGACACCTGCAGAAGCCTACCACAAACATCCATCCCTCTCTTCCCCCCAAAGAGCGCAGCCTCTCTTCTCCAATCAGCAGAAGGCAGTTTGAGCTCACACGGCCACACAGCACAAGAGATCTCCCAAGTGTTATGCCCAGGAAAGAGCATTTTCCAAGCAGGTTTAGCAGGGACACCTTCAGAGGCCTACCACAAACATCCATCCCTCTCTTCCCCCCAAAGAGAGCAGCTCATCACGACCCACACCACTGCAGCAGAGCTGTCTTCCAGCTCTGCAAGAACTCTCCCCAGGCAAGAAGCACCCACTGAAGCTGCCAGATTCTGCTCTGCACAACAAAGGTGTATTTTTTCCTGGGAATTCTGAAATCTCAGAATTAACAGAGATCTCACATTTTTAACTTGACAGCACTCCCAATGGTACCTGTTGGCACTACCATCCACTGCTCTGTTGCCTGTTGGTACCAGAAAGGCAATACAGGGCATACAACTAGGCACTACAATACTTGCATCTCTGCAGATTTGACTTAATACTTTCAAAGCAACCCATTTTAGAGTAACTATTTCAACCAGCAATAAGACATCCTCAAGATCAGGCAGCCAGGAAATAGGAAAATGCAGAAAAAAGGTTTCCATCTCTTAACTCTCACAAACATAAGCTGCTACTGAGAGACTGTTTTCAGGCTTTAATAGTACTCCAAGTCTAGAATTAACAACAAACATGCTCTAAGAGAAATTATGTCCTTTTTTATATCTGCTGTTTTTGGAAGGCTTTATCTAAGTGCTGGCAGAGTAGAAAAATAATTGAATAAATATAAGACAACAAAAAGTCATCGCACTCCAAACATGCAAAGAAAGATCTAAACAAAGACAGAAAATAAATCCATCTCATCTGGCTACCCATGGCCACGTTCCCTACCTTCTCTACAAAGAAGGGAAAACAGTGAATTTCAGAGCCTCTCACAAAATGGAATGATGTCTTTGGGCTCCAACAGGTAGAAATTCCTCAAAAAATCAAACATTTTTCACATAAGGTAACAGTAACCTTTATTTAAAGATTTGAACATGTCCATGCACTTACATAGTGAAAATCAAGGACCAAAACTAAAATTAAAAAGTAAGGAAAGAATTAGAAGTCTGGTAAACAAAATACACCCACCAGCAAGGCACTGACTGCCAAACATCTTTGCCACGACTAGAAGGAACTAAAGGGAAAAGATAGAAAGGAAAGAGGAAAATTAAAGAGAAAAAATAAAAAAAAAAGTTGTGTGT